AGAAAGTGGGACTTCTAGAAGGCTTTTTGAGCTGAATTTTCCCTAGATCTTTCTTTCCAACTTGGAGTGCAAGCCAAGTTATTTAGTTTCCTTATTGCTCTATAATTTCTAGATTAATTAGGATACTTAATATTTTATTGCTTATTTAGTTTCCTAGGTAGATTAGACTTAGACAAATCTTGTGCCTATACAAAGGCCCTTCCCCCATGTTATTTTTCATCATTGAAGAATTAATAGAAATCTAGAACTTTGTTCTTCCACTTTGCTTTATTATTTCACCAAAATTCTATTGCAATTTTATTCGTTCCAAGAGGCGCTGTTGTGGCTCGAAGAACTCCTATCGGCGATTCAAGGCGCGGGTTAGCGGCTTATCGGCAATCGAAACACACGATCTTCACCAGCATCCCCCAGCGCCCCATATGGTAAGCAGGGCATTTCCAGCCCTATTTAACCCCTTCTTTTCCACTCCCCAAGCCTCCAAAACCCTCCCACTCACTCTCCATCAGTCGCCACCCTCTTATCCCTCTCCACTCCCGATCACCGCCTCCACCGCACACCCAGGCTACCAACGAGCAAGGACAACAGCCAACCCTCGAACCCCCACCCCTATTCAAGTATCCCCAGGCCAAAACGGAGCAACCCACCTCTGTCCAAGGTGATCCCAGCCTCCGGTGAGCCGAGCCCCCGCCGCTGAGCCGCCCCGTGCACGTCTTCGAGCCTTCGAACCCCTTTTCCTTGTGCTTTTTAGTGCAAGGACCACGAGAACGGTACTTGATGGCTGTACCTTTTCATTTTAATGTTTTTTGAGTTGTTTCATCTTGGTTTAAATCGGATTTGCTTGGAATGTTTGAATAATGTGAAAATTATGCATGTTTGAAGGGATATTAGTGTGTTCTTGATGAACCCTCGTTAAAATCGTGTTAGGCTCTGGAATATAGAACATTTATGAGTCTTTGGCCTCATGGTGAAGACCTTAGACGTTTTTGTTGAGTATGTGGTCATATATGTATTTTTGATCGAGTGTTGCTGCTGAGTTTTACAAAAATCATCATAAATCATATGTTCGTCCGATTGCTGTTTAATTTGAACTGTATGACCCAATTTTGGTATGTTATCTGGTGTAAAAGTTTCAGGTCAAAATAATATCTGTAGCTATGTCAAATGTCGTTTTGAAATTCTGGCAGAAACTTAAAAAAATTAAAATTCGAATTCTTGGTACTTTGATGTGATTTTTGGTGAGTCTCATAACCCTGGTGTTATACGTTTTGTATCCAAATTGTGCTGAAAAATTCCAAGGATTGCCCGGTGAACTTGTAAATTCAGATTTTCGTCACTTTTTCGTAAAAATTTGTTGCCCTTGTTAAACTGAAGTCTTGGGTCTGAAACTTGGTGAAAACGTGTCTTTCTGGATCTATTTTTATGTGAAAAAAATTTTAAGTCAATCGATCGAGTGCATTTTAAAAACGGTCGGGTCCATTTGGCTTGTTGCATGTCTGTCCGGGGGGCCTGCAATCTGTCAGCGCCCCAGCACAGCGCCTCAGCGCAGTAGCCCGCGCCCCAGCGCACCCGGTGAGCCCAACCGCGTGATACGGAAGTGGGTTTTGGACCCCTGTGACAAAAAGGGCCAAGAGCGGAGCCGACCCGAGGAGGCTGATAATAGGGCCAAGATGATGCATGCATGGCCTAAAAGACGGGTACGAGCTCGTATGCGAGGTCGCGCATGGAGGTGCGCGAAGGCACGCGAGAAGATGGTCCATAGGCATACGACGTTCGAGCGCAAGAAAGGGCGCATTCAAGAAGGGCGCGCACACGCGCATTGGCGTAGACGCGCATGGTGCTTGGAGATTAGGCGAAGTGGCGCGCAGGGAGTGGATTTTGGGTGGTTGATGCGCGCGAAGGACTGCGGCGGATGGACAGCGAGTGCGCATAGGCGCACGAGCGAGTGCGAGGGGTGGCCGGGGGTGCGAACCACGCTGGGCGTGCGCAGCGTGCATGGAGGTGGCCGGGACGCGCGGACGAAGGGCAGCGATGCGTGGGGCGACGAGGGCGATGGCCTAGACCGCATAGGCATAGGAGTAATGGACGACGAGCGTGAGGCGCCAGGCGACACGCGCGAGACACAAGTCAAGAGCGAAGTGGCAATCCTAATCCTCGTAGGAATAGGCAAGGCGCGAATACTAATCCTCGCAAGAATAGGAAAAACAGTTGAGTGCCGGAACGCGCGTGGGAGATCGGTGACGGGAGTAATCCTCGGAAGATCAGGAAACGTAACCGGGAGCATATTTATAACGCCCCGTTTGAATATGAATTATTGGAGATTATTATTATTATTATTATTATTATTATTATTATTATTATTATTATTATTATTATTATTATTATTATTATTTTGTTCAAGTCAAGCCGGGGTCAA